TCATATACTCAGCCTCCAACTCACACACTGGCGAGTAAAATCTGAGAATTTATTAGCCATTGGCTAATATTAGACATAATTTAGTCGCCCAGAGTGAAGATTTAGTCGCATATGCGAGTGATTTACTCGCAATGTAGAGGGTTGCCAACACTGTTCATAATACTTCAACCATCTGTCATATAGAGACACTTCACCATTCAATCAGGCATCAAAACAAGTCCCTTTTTCGTTAATAAAAAAAATCAGGAAATCTGTAAATATTCCATCCTATATACATACATGTTAGTTAGTATGAGAATGTTTCACTTTGAAAACATCACAGTATGGTGTTTATGATCAAGTGCCCAGCACTAGTCTACACTCAAATCCAAACCAAATCAAACAAAAATGGAGAGTTGTTTGTAGTGTGTGTAATCATGATTATGAGTATTATTATATTTAATTTAATTTTTAGTTTATCTTTATATTAAAAGTATATAATAATAAAAATAATAATAATAATATAAATGTATTCTTATTACTCTTGAATTGCTATTAAGAACAATACATGATTAATAATTCATACAACATAAAAAAATAATAAACAAACAATATTAATCATTATAGGATTAATACTTAATTTTTTTATTTTCTATAACAGTCTGACATGATTGTGATTATCTTTTAACCTGTGAATATTATGCTTATGTTATATGTTTAATTTGATTACCTAATCTGTAGCTTTGGCTATATAATGTAATATATGCAATGTGTTCTTTAAATAAATTAGTTTGCATTATATATATATATATATATATATGAGAAGTGGCTTTCATTTATATTATTTTATTATGAAAATGTAGTTTTTGTCATTTTTATTAGTTTTTGTTTTTTGTAAATATGTCTATATATATATATAATATATATTTTAAATTTTGCCTTGGCAACTAGCTGAAACATATAAAAAAATGTACATTTTTTTATATTTTATTTCAGTCAACGTTTATATTATTTCAAGTAACGAAAATGTTTTTTTTATGGTTTTAGTTATTGTTTATAATAACACTGCTGTGTACTCATTTCTTCATAAGAGACAGTACATATAAACATCACTATGTGATCTAAATTGTGATCCACAAATATGTGGCAGATTTAGCCAGAACTAATGATTATAATCATGGACGTCATAGGTCCTGGGCTCTATGATGAGCTCCTCTACGGTCTACACAGATGATATACTTATATATGATCGTTATATTTTAGGATTTCTAATCAGGCACCAAATAAAACACCCCCCAAAATGTTCTTTCAGCCAGTAGAATCATCGAGGGGTCAAAGTCTTAGGGTCATGATTTTTGTGTGTGTTAAGTGCGCGCGCGCACACACACACACACACACACACACACACACACACACACACACACACACACACACACACACACACACACACACACACACACACACACACACACACACACACACACACACACACACACACACACACACACACACACACACACACACACACACACACACACACACACACACACACACACACACACACACACACACACACACACACCTGTTCTCGCTGTAGTCAGTCTCTGCTCCTCCCCACCACACGTCTGAATCATCCTCCTCCACGGCTGCGCTATCTGACTCTTTCTCCGGTTCTGCAGGGCAGCAAACAAACTCGACGCCACGGAAACGGTCAATACCGCATGGCAACAGCATCCCGTAGTCATGGAGATTCATGCTGCGGTCGCCGCAAGACTGTAGAGACAGAAGAGTGTGCGATTGGACGGAATCATTTACTGACAGGAGAAGCATCAATATCAAACACAAGACCAACAACATGAAACCGCTCTAAATCAATCAATACAACGATTCAAAACCCAGTCAGAGTCACACTGAAAAAATATGCATTAATATGTTCAGATTGTGAGTGTTAGTGAAACAGCAGCGTTTATATTCATTGGTGTGTTTGTACATGTTTGATAATGTATTGATCTGTTGAACTACAATGATAAACAGATTCTCATACTAACTAACACGTATGGTAAATATAGGATGGAATATCTACAGACTTCCTGAAAACACATCAGTGTTATTATAGTATCAATAAGATACAATTATAGTTTTTATTCATATTTTGAATTAGATTTTATTTTATATTTTCTGCTTTAATGTTAATTTTAAAGTTTTTGCAAGTTTGTTGTGTTTTTGTCTTTTTTTTTTCTATCATTACTATTTGTTGTTTTTATATATGTCTATATAATTTTTATACATTTTCATTTCAGTTTTAGTTTTAGTTATTTTGGTACATCAAGTTAAATCAAATGAAAATGAGAAATTTTGTATGTTAACTGGCTGAAATAATATATGTCTTTTAAAAATATTTTATTTCAGTAAACATTTATTTTATAGTACCCAATTTTTTTTCATAGTTTTAGTTTTAGGTTTAACTATAATAACCCTGAAACAAGCACATTTAAAATAATTTTATTCATTCAAATAAAAATATTAAATGAATAAAATGAAGCCAATTTTTGGAGAATTCTGGCATAATTATACTGAATTTTACCCCATTTTTTTTTTTTTTGAACTGTGTTTTTATTAAACTTTGTATAAACATATCAATTTACACATAGCAT